ATTCATATTGGCGGAACCTTGATTTAAAACACTGTCAATGGATTCTCTTGAATATACTTGCCATGTTAGCTTGCATATTCATCTGTTTCAATGGGGATAATGGCATGAAGTAGTTATTCATAATCGGGATTAGTGCCTTTTTGTTTATATATTTCATCAGATGTGTTTCTAATATATATGACCAAAGTCTTCGTTTACGGAAATTTATTTGATCACTGCAATCCGCAGTATCTTGGCTTTAAGTTTGACTCACAGTTAAGCATGTCTAGATACCCACAGAGCGTATTTTTAGATCAGAACTCTTTAAATCTTCCACTACTTCATGCAATTATTTTTTCTTACTAAATAATGAGATTGAAAATTTTCCAAGAGATGGTATGGTCGACATTGAATCCATTACATAAGTGATCTTTTAATTCCTTGCCTGGTAGCAAACTTTGCTTGCTTTTGCTAAATGACAAGTATGGGGTTTTTCTCCGACAACCAAGTATGTGCCCTCGTCCCTTCAGTTATCTTTTGCTTTCAACCTTAGCCGTCATGCGTAAATGCAAACTGATATGGTTTATTATCAAATTAAGTTAGCTCATAATTCATTTCAATCAAGTTTCCACACTTTTGAATAAGTTTTGGTCTAGACTATATGTATTGGTGCATTAAGGCGATACGACGAAACAAAAAATCGGTTACCAGACAAAAGGCTTTCTCCTTTCCCAGCAAATTAGACAAGATAAAACGTACAACTCCACCACCATGCGTAGTGCCTTCTGTGCAGTTAGTAGTTTACTAAGTATTTGGCAAAACCTTCATACATTAACGACCGGTTCTTTCTAGACTACTAACTCGCAGCGGGCATTTCTCACCAGAAGGAAGAATTTTGATTTTTGTATGTCGCCAAGTAACTTTTCTGGGCCTGGAATAGCGGATAAGTGCGTTCGCGACTTAAAAGTTCGCAGTTACTTCTTTTGATACAAATCATTCGTTTAGGCTCTCCTGATAACTCCTTTTGCTTCCGTATTGTTTTCGTCTCCTAGCCGAGATATTTCAATCCAAAGTTCCGGCAACTGTAACTGTGAATTGCGCTCTGGTACCCCTGATTGCAACGGACACGGTAAGATCGTTCTTCTGCAGTTTTCC